ATAATTATAAACGTTTAGAGACCACAACTATTCCAGTCACACTCGCAAAGTAATCCGTGGAATGAAATTCCATCTTATGGGAAGCTGCAAAATTGACTCAGGATCACGACATCCGGGGCCCTTTTTTCAACCAACCCGTATCAACTGTGTTTGTGGTCTTAGAATAGCGATCGAACGTCTGAAGTTTCTTGAGGGAAAGATGCGTCGTTATTTCGAGGTAATCCTGTTAACTTTGGCGTGGCGTCGGTAAACACCCCCAATTCCTGGAACATGAACGTTTATACATTGTGTATTAAAGGTCTACAGATTTTGGTTGAGCCAGAAGTGCAGTGAAACGGTTCTAGTGGGAGGGGGCCAATATCTTCAATCCCCCATCAAAGAAAATCGCGAGACAAATGTAGAAAATGGATGGAAGAACCCTAAGCCACCCGAAAGCCCTCCCAAGTTCGAACCACTCCTGCAGAAGGCCAATTAACTATTATACTGTCATACAGAGGTAATTACGCCCTTCTGGCTCTAAACAGACGTTATGTTGATGAAATCCTGGGTTAACAATTCGTTATTTTGTTGGATGTTAAACCTTTGGTGTAGTGTAGGCCTATAAAACGTCTAGTCATAAGAACGAAAGATGCGTCGTCATTTCGAGGTAATCCAAATGGCTTGTCCAGAATAGGGTGGAGTCTGTGACCTCCTCCCTCTCCCCAATTTTGGGCTACAAACGGTTATACATGTAGGTCTAATGAAGATTGTCTTAAAGAAAGTTATGATAAACGATTCGATATCAGGTAAAGGTTAAAGGAGCGGTGTAACGAATGTCTAGTTACGAGTGCGGCAAACTTTGACAGTTGGAATAAATGCAAGAATAATAGTTTTTTTTAAATAATATTTATATATATTTTTTAAATTCAGGAAAAATTAACCACTTAATGCACGATGCACAAAATAGAATGAGAAATAAAGCAATAGCAAGAAATAAAGTCTATACTCTCCGTCCCTTACTTCCTCTGTCCGTTCCCCCTCCTTTACCCTCTGTTTCTGCCCTTTCCTTTTCCTCGCTCTCTCTCCTCGCCCTTAAGTATCTCCTTTCCTCTCCCTATCTCTATTTCGGATTGGCGTTTCATCCAGCACATCATGACTCTTCAAATCAAATACTAATGATATTCACACTAGTGAATGACTTCAAATTACAAACCGAAGGCGATCGAGAATTTCTGAAGTTAAGTAATCCCTCTGTACCTAAAAAATTAAGCCATCGGCAAACTGGAGTTGTTTTAAGTGAAGGTTTCATGGAACAGGTCATCTCCCTCATTAAAGGGAAATTCAACCTTTGTAATAAGCTCATTTGTATGAAAGTAGAAAAACAAGGGAAACAGCACGGAGAAATGAATCAGACCAATAATAAGAAAGTTATGAATGTCTGAAATATGAGAAAACTGAATTTATACGCGAATCTCATATTGGCAATTTGGTAAGTGGGGGTTGACGTAGTCATGGACAACTCTCCCAAATTTCGTGTACAAATATATCAATAATGTATGTCTTTCTCCCACGTGCCTTCTTCCTTGAGGCACTACTCAAAATATATTTTGGACAGTATATCATTGTAGGTCCTCTAAAAAGAAAATACACCCCACCGCCGAGTCATACCTTTTGAGAAGACGAATATTAGTGATTTTTGGTGTTTAAACAAATAAGAAAGTTGTCCGGCATTACGTCACAGTGACAAACCAATTCGGCCAATTTAAAGTGCTCATATATACGTTCAGTGATTACAGCGTTAACAAATTCATAACTTTCCTTTTTATATTTATTTTATCTTCTCTGCTGCTCTCGATTCTTTCGTTTTTCTGTTTTCTTTTTTTAGTAGATAGGCCGGATTTTCCTTTAAACATCTCCAGGCAACTGTAAATGGGACGAATCTTCATATTCTTCACATCAACGGGGTGTGGTTTGGGATTTGGTATTACATGTACTTAACACACAATATGACGACATAATCACTTCTAAAGGCCTTGCTCTATGCTCTATGGACTGTGCAACCTACCATAAAATGTATAATTTGACTGATGTTTAATATATTATGAATGACATTAAAGAGTAAAAATTGTGCCAAACAGGATATTTATACATATTGTATATCGCCTCTTTGGGAATATCTTCAATTATTCATTATATATTATTGTAATATTTCCAAGAAGTTATATCTGAATTATGCAAGAGTGGATTATATTATTTGCACTTCTCAATATGCAATTTATCAGTACACGTTTCAACATCAATTATGATGTTATTTCATTTTTTATTGTATATTTTCCAACAAGTTATATCTCAATTATGAAAGAGGGGATCATATTGGCAACTCGAACTTCTCAGTGAGCGATTCTCTGGATTAAAAAAAATAAAGCGTTGGAGAACGTCTTAATATCAACATGAACTCATATATAATCTTGACTACATTTCCACAACACGGACATGGGAGGATAATGTGTCAACAATTTGAAATGTAATATATAAGTTAGGGATTGCTTGAGGTTGTCGAGTAGGTAATTCCGAGTAGTAGTTGCTTTATTATTCGTTGCTTTATTTCTTGCGACAGTTGTCGGGAAATTATAACGAATTTTATGGGTCGTATTTTTATTTTTACAGTCTCCTCTATTATTAGCATGTCTATTAGAGGAAAAAAAAACGGTCTGGTAATGTCACGAATAACGGCGCGAATGAAGAGAGGGGAGGGGCTGTGCCTTGCTTAAATTCAATTTAAATAAATATAATTAATTCAAAAAAAAAGTAAGATGCAAGATTTAGCTCTTACAAATCGTCGCCATATCATACTCTTTTGTTGTTCCCTTATTTATGACGTGATTTGCATTGTTTTCACCTTGTATTTGGATCAAATGTGGATTTATATTCTAGCTCTACATGTGTCTCTTACACTAGGATTGCATATTTATAATTATACCAGTTAAGATGCAGAGACAGAGAAGGAGACCGAGAGAGGTTGAGACACCAGGGCCCCGCGTCTTATAAAGAGTTGATATTCATCGCAACTAATTTGCGATTTATATCAATTGCAACTATGTCCGTAAGAGATAGAGACTGCAAAGCTACGATTGATTGGAGGACTTGCGATTGATTTTTTTGGATCAATCGCAACTCTGTATAAGCCGGGAGCCAGGACATGAAGGGTGAAAGATGAATAGCGAAGCAGATAGAGACAGAAAGACAGAGAGACACGTAGAGAAAGAGAGATGGAGAGACAGTTATATAGAGAACGGAAGATAGAGAAAGAGATAACGAGAGAAACAGTGAGACGGAAAGAGATGAGAGAGACAAAAAAAAAGACAGAGACGTTGAGACAAAAAGACAAAAAGAGACAGAGGGACACGTAAGAGAGAAACAGTGAAACAGGAAGAGAAAGAGAGAGTCATGGACAAGTAAACATTATAAATAATAAGAGAGACAAACAGACAGACACACACACACACGCACGCACACACACACACACACACACACAAACAGACGGCGATAAAGAGAGAGAGAGAGAGAGAGAGAGAAAAAAAAAGAGGCAGATAGAGACAGAGGGATATAGAGACAGATATATAAATAGGGAAACAGGGAGAGAGAGAGAGAGAGAGAGAGAGAGCCGGATAGAGAAAGAGAGAGCGGGGTTGTTGCATTATTACATTTTAAGAACATTTCATGACACTTTATAGGGATAGATCATCCTTCCTGAAATCGAGAAGGATGACGTGGACATTGCCACTGTTGGTATTAGGACAACTAGATCTTGAAAATCGTTTCAACCAGATTCTCCTGATCCCAAAGCAACACCAGAAAGACCAGTATATAACGGAAAGAGGAATAACGATAGAGACAAAGCGTTTACATTATTTGTGCGAGAATCACACTTTCCTGAATGTTCGAATAGACATAAATTGTCGTCTGTTCACTGTTGAGAGTTAAAAACGTTTTAAAAAAACTGTTAAAAACTTGACAGGCGGGACACAATGAGATTGTACACAAAATATTTTTTTTTTTAAAGAAAACAAACTCGCAAGCATTAACTATTTTATGTAACAATGGACCATAATAGGAAGAGGATTCTAATTTTTATCCGTCGGGAAATTTTGATGTTGACATATCTATTTTTGCTGTATAAGGTCAAACATGACAGGCGGGACATCAATTTATCTTTCATAATTATCTTCATAATACCTTAATCTACCAAAAAAGGGAGAAATGGACCCCTTACCAAAGAGTAAGAATCGTACATCCAATTATATCGTAAAGGTAAAAAGTGCCTTTAGAAAACGTAACAGATTGGACCAAAAAAAAAAAATCGCGTGACCTTTGACCTTTTAAAAATCCTAAGCCTTTTCATATTTTAGGCCTTTTATTAACTAGATGTAGAATTCACTTTATTCCTTACCAAATTTGATCAACTTTGTATAATGACAACTTATATTTCTTAAAATTCATCAATATGTCACCAGATTTTACAATGAAAATATAATTTAATTTGCAAATCGCAAAATTGTAATTTTGGGGTCAAAATATTAACAAAATGAAGAAAAAAAATCCAAATATTGTCCCATAGAACTCAAATCATGTATATTCCACTGGCATAAAAAGGAAAAGTTTAAAATCATACTTTGTAATTTCACCTAAAGTTGGCATTTGCATGGAATAACCCATACATAAAAGTGGCGTTTAAATAACTTCATTAGCAAAAAGTGGGGTTCTACTCGAATTAGTGCATATTGGACCCCTTTAAATCCTCAAACGCATTTCAAAAATCTAGGTTTAATGCCCTGTTTTCCCAGCAATTTAATCATCTCTAGAATGATATTGCTAACAAAGACTGAATTCACACATTGACCAAGAACGATGAATCTGTGAATCGAATACCGACGCTCTACAGTTGAAGCCATCATCGTCATCATCTTCATGACCTCATGATCATCTATTTCGATTTCTCTCTCTCTCTCTCTCTTGTCCAGGAAGGCTAACGATGAATACTTCCAGCAATCTCACAGTGATGGTCATTCTGATGGCAGCTGTAATCCTTAGTCACTTTCAACCGTCACTGTGCCAAATCCACCACAGATTCAACTGCTGGAGACCGGGGGGTAAGAAGCGATCCGACCCAGACAGCTCCGCCACATCCAGCTTCCCCCCTAATAGTGGAGATCACCTGGTGAGTACGAGTGCGCTAATAAGAATTATTATTATGATGATGATGATAATAATAAAAATAATGATAACAATAATTATAATATTAGTATTAATTATAATATTATAATTGATAATAATAACAATAATAATAATTGGGTTTTATTTTTCAGCCACATCATGATTAGCTTTGCTTTTCCTTTGGACCTGCAAATATTATTACTCCAGGTACACATTTACACGTGGGTGGAGAGTGGCAAATATGGGATTAATCTCTTGCCAAAGGACGATAGTGCCGCGCTGGGATTCGAACCGTCAACCCTTGGATTAAGAGTCAAGTGAATGAACCACTATACCACGGCAGGCTAAGCCTCAATTCTCGTTGCACTAGAGGCGTCATTTTGATTGAGTTATTACCTGCGTTGATTTCAAACCTGCGAAAGCAATCAAATTTCAACTCTAACCCTAATCCTAACCCTTCCCTTACCCTAACCCTAACCCTACCCTAACCCTGAGTTATTACCTGTGTCAATTTAAAACCTGCTAAGGCAATACAATTCCATATTCCAGTCATTCACCGCAGTTTTTGCCATCTTGCCTTCACGTTTTGGTTGGATATAAATCTTACATTGCCCCTGTCATATCGCTGCACCGGGGGTACTAAGAGACTTCTTTGAGATTAAACATTTTGGAGTAGATCAAAATTTGTATAAACTGTTTGAAAATGGAGGAATATAATTTTAATTGTATTTTGCATAATCATGGCACTATCTTTATCGTGATGAGATGAGGGGTGCTCAAAAAGATGAAGCGTCGAGAAATATTTTTTTTCTTCGAATTTGACTGAATTGTAGGTAGAATACTGCAAAATCGCTTTTATTTATTATCATGAAACGTAAATGTGGATCTAGGCGTTGTTAAAGAAATTTTTATTTCCAGGATTTTTTGTGGTATCATTTGTCCTGAGAGATCATTTTGGTTTCTAAAGGATGATGCCTAAGCTAATGAATTTTTGATGAAAATGGTCGTTGCAAAATAGTTCAAAGATTAGACTTATACGTTACTTTTTTCTCTTTTTTTCTTTCTTTGTTTTCCAGCAACTTAAGTGGTCCTTACAGAGATACATTGATTCCGTTCCAGCTAGTGAACTTATAAATCTTCTGAGTCAACTCTTACAGGTCAGTATAGCCCAATTTAATTCATTCAAAATTGTATTTTCATCCAGTCACTTTTCCCCAATCAGTTTTCCCCTCTATTTATAGGATTCAAACTATCAACCATATATAAGAACACAATCGCAAAAGACTTTTTCAAAACTAAGCAAAGACAATTTCAATAGCCATGCTCGTCATCTATTGAAATGTGCGAACACGACAATGATGTATTTACATAATCCAAAGAAAGGAACTGTCGAAAGTGTGACATCTGCTCTTTACGAGGAGGCGAGATGGCTCAGTGGGAGAGCAATGATTTCGTAACTAGGAGAACCCGAGTTCGAAACTAAGTGGATTCGCTGATGCACTTCGATAAGGCATTAATCCTGCTTACCAAGTCCCTCGGAGAGGACGTATACTGCTGTCTGCCCCCGTGTTGCTCATTAACAAACATACACATGCTTCCTTAGCATCCAGGTGTAATAAACCATCAAAACTAATCAAACCAAACACATTTTTCGTGGGTTATACTGTTCAAGCTGACCTAATTTTGATCTGGTATTCTTTTATATTGTTGTATGTTGGAAGCTTGGCGAATAAAAATCAATTAATGAATTAAAAAGGCGTTGGATTTGTTTTCCTATCTCTCTTTAATCTATAAATTGGCAACACTTGATCCTCGTCTATCCTAAAACATGTCGCGGCAAATCCAAGCTTATATTTTCGCGGGTGTTGGACTAATACTCATCCTCAACGTCTATAAAGCCTCACATTAAACCTGTTATTACAGGGGCGTCTGGTTAATTATGCATATTCGTAAATTAGATTGAAGAAGCCGATGGCGTAAGGACAGGGGGCACACGAGACATATACCACTGAGTCGAAAAGCAAATAAGAAAAGGAAGTTAGAGAGAGAGAAAAAAATACACGTTATAGAGGATATTACGGGTTTTTCGGGCACCTCGGCCCTCACATGCCCCCACTCCCCTAAGAAATCGCTGTTTCTAGTTTCTATAATCAATTAAGCCATTACCTTCATTTCGTGATATAGTAGAATACAATAATCTAGTAGTTTTCGTTTCGTCGTAGGAGAGCCTTAAACTAATGAAATAAAAATGCACTTAAAATGAAATCCAACTACCTGTAGAGATTAAACGTTATCTCCTGTATCCTCTGGATGATAATTACTAATATCTTTATCTGGTTTTGTTGATTACGGCTTGTCCTTGGTTCTATTCCTAATTTAATTTATTCGAGGGAGCCATAATAACAAGGCCTAATAATTATAGACGTGTCTGTTGAGTTTCAGTTTGAAATTGAGGCTTTAGATTTGGTAACAGTTTTATCTTCTTTATCTCTTAGGCTAAAGAGGTTGTCAGCACTCATGTAAATATGACAACATTATCTAAATACATGTCAATAAAGCTTTAAGTAGATCATATGTAGACGTAATTAGTTAAACTGCATTATGTACTGTTGAAATGGTAATATAAAACAACAAAAATAGAGAGACAAATACAAAGTAGATGTGGTTCGTCAAAAAAAATATATAACGTATATAAGCCTGACGTCCGTATATTTCAATTCCTATATAAAGAAAAATGCATGATCTTTTTATCATGATAATACAGACGGTTAGTGGAAGTATGTGTGATTCTTGAAGTGCATCGCAAATGTAAATTTATTCTGTAATTGTGCTCACCCCTCACATAAATAAACGGATGCTGAATAAAAGAAACACTTTCTTAGTTACTTCTGGGATTTATACCGTGACAGCTGAAACACTTTAGTTTGTATACAATGACATGTCGGGACGGGAGTCAATTGATTGATATTTGTAAATCAAACGGCTTTTATTTTATACTTTTATTGCAACAACAAAAATACTTGATATTCTTTTTACCTTTATCGGCAAATAAATAAACTGAGGGCGATTCGTTCGTTGCTTGTCGGCAGATTGTGATATCTAATGATTTCTGAAAGTTTGACGTTGTATTCTATTTTTTTTCTACATTCAATTTCGACAGCGGCATGGGGTTTAGTGGTTATCTCAAGAGTAGAATTTACATAAAGACATATTTGAATTGAGTCACATTACCAAAGGTTGGCCTATTTTTACCATAACCGTACTCTCTATAGAGTACTCTCTATCCATTGCAATGATCGAAATCAAGCGACAAAATGCAGAAGTTAATCGTTTAGTCTCTTAAAAGATAACTTGAGTAATATGACAAAGTTACAAACAACTAACCATCATTTATTCTTGTCTTGATTTCTTCAATGTATCAAGAATATTTTTGTTTTGTTTGTGAAAGAATTTCAAACAAATCAAAACGTAATCGAAATGTATTCAAAGCAAATCCTCTTCCAAATATCAATAGTCATGCTGCGATGCCTCCACAAAAATGTTCTGTACACCGCAACAAATCTATACCATATAGACGGTCCGGGATATCATAACGTACGTTGAGACTACCTGAGAGCCAGTAGGACGTTAGCTTATAAACCTTTACACAGAGTTAATGTCTTTCTTGTTCTCATGAATAAATCCCGAAGTATTAAATAGGATTAGACAAGTAAAGACGGAGATTATTAGATGATATTTCGATAATGAAAGATACCGACAGAACCATATGTGATCGCAGTGATTGTCTGGAAGTTGTATAATATCAAGGCTGTCGGCTTCCTTTGAGATAAACAAATTTAAATTGTCAGTTAAATGACCCAATAATAAGCCAGATTATCTTTAATCACTTTATCTCATTTCCAAGAAGACGATTACAAACGTCCTCACTCGATTTGTTTCATAATTTATATTTATAATAGATAGTCTATCATTATATTTTCTACATGAAAATTCATTGGTTCAACTAATAGGTTCAATGCCAAATTTAGTCATAAAGTGACATTTCAAAAAGGTCTACAAAACGGAGAGTCCATTAAAGGTACTATGTCCCATTTGCAGGCCCAAAATATGAAAAGGTTAAATTTTAACGGCATTTGAAAGTTAATACTAATTTAAAACTTCCCTAAAAAATGGGAGGGGGGGCTTGAAAATGTCTTTAAGTGGGAAAATAACGACTATTAGATGTCAAAGCGACTTAAGTGCTACCAAGTCAGTAAGTAATAGTCTGATTTTCAGACCATTGTACCAAATGTTTTACGTTTTGTGCTGCACAAAGATTCAATCAGTTTGATTAATTTGGCCATTACAAGAAGTTGGTTATTGATGTAGACAAATGCTCATGTACACTTTACAGCTCATTTTATGTACGTTATTAACAAAGAAGAAAAAAAGCCATTCAGTCACTCAATAGTGTCTGACAGTGAAGTCTAGCAAGTAAACGGGTTTTCTTGCATAGTTTGAATATTAGGACACTACTAACGTTTACATTTCACAGATAGGACATACATTACATATTCATAATTCCTGCAAATTTCTACAGATGTCGGCTGCAAAAGGGACATAGTATCTGTAAACTGACGAAACAAAGAAATAAATGAGAACTGTTGGCCGATTGAATTCCCAAGACGGGCATTAGGCAAAAACAAAATCATTTGGTTGTCCTCGATTGAGTAGGGTCGGGCGGGCGGATTTTTTTTAATTTAACTTTTTTTTAACCTCATTTTTGGGGGTCTTTTAAAAAAAAAAAAATCTCCTCCCCCCCCCCCCCCCCATTTTTTTCCCTTAAAAAAAAAAATCATTGGGATGTCCAACATTTAAACAAACAAAGTCTATAAAACACTTTAATACGGTAAAAGACTAGTTAATCTATGCCCCAATCCATACAAAGGCCAAAATTATTATGGTTCTCCTTGTTTATCTTTTCAGTTTGAGAACATGCGGCGGACCAAAGTCGCTGTACCTGAAACGGATGCCGACACCAACAACGATTGGATATCATCGCCCACGGACGAGAAAGATGCCAGTAGGACGTGGTCATAACAAGGTCATAGCTGTCGTCGTCACCGTTGCTGTCGTTAACTTGTAGTATACTAACTTGATAAATAAGAAAAAGAAAAGAAAAAGATGCCTGATATGAAAAGAAAGTTATTTTGTATATTTTGTTTATGTTACACGACACAACAGATGCATCTCTCCTACCACAGTCAAATTCAATTTTCCTTTTTTAATAATTTATCTTTATTTTTTATAATTTTATTTTTCGTGCTTTCAAGAAAAATTTGATTTAAAAAACATTTCTAAAGAAAAAGATGTTAAATGTAAAACAATTTGTTAAAACTTTAGATAGCTTATAAATTAATCGAGTTATGAAACTTAATTTACTTTTCTGGGGTTAAGGTCCATGACGAAATAAGGTTTGCATTTTCAAGTTTCTCTTTCTAAGATATTGAAAATAAAAAGTTGTCTATGATGATTTAGACTTCTTCATACTGTGTACTAAAAGATGATATTCAAGTAGTCTTATTTTCGCTCGTGAATTATCATGCCAATATTCCTTTCAAAAATATAATTTGCCCTATCCATAAAAGCTTCACTATTAATCAATCACTTATTTCAACTTCCGATTCGATGGTTGTCAAAAACACGTCATTAAACACTCCTTCATTGTGCATGTCGCAAATAACATGACAACAAAGATGATACATTTAGTTTTTATTAATTAATTGAATACCAACGATTCGTGTGAATTGTTGGTATTGCTCAGTTTCCCAACACCAAGGTTATATATATATATGAATAACAGAAATAAACCGTTGTACTTCAGTGTTTGTACATACATATAGTTATTAGAGTTAAAGCGATATGGAGAGATATTGGTGCACTTTTCTTCCCATCGATACAATTCATGAAGTTGCATCAAATATGGTGACGGAAAAATAGTCGTAACCAGGTGCCCAGTTTTAATTCCATGACTTAGTCTTACTACGCACAAAAAAATCATTTAAATAACTTAGACAATGGTGGAAGTAGAGAATGGAGAATGATAATTTTGATTAATTAAGGTAAATGGAATTATCTATTATTTTAGAAAAAAATAATTATAATTTTAGTAAATGGAAGAAATGAAGTATTCTCTAATGCTATATTCCAACGACTGGGTTAAATTTATTTTCTTCATGACAACGGCATTTAGTTTTAATAGTCGTAACAGACATGTTTACAGTTTGAGGTATTAAACTAGCACTTACGTTTTGTAATGACATGATTTGTACGACTCGGAAGTTTATCCTTTCCTCAGCCGGTATAGCAACGAGCAAAAATGGATTAACAAGGTGAATCCAAGAATATGGATACTATCAAGTATTGATTTGTAACAGACGAATTCATTAAAATCGCAAATCAGGGTACTCTAACAGATCCTGATTATCCCGAAATAAATATCTTCAAAATTTTGTCCGATTCGGGAATTAATTAAAACGATGAAAGATAATTATTCATGAAAGATAGATTATTGGCTGTAACCATTTTAACCCTTACCCTTTGCCACGTATATTACAATGATTCATCGTTATGTATTGATATATAATTACTTTGTTGTAGTTAAAAAGTTTTAAATAGGTTTAGCCAAATATAGATGCCATTGAATAAATAATTCAATTTAAGTATCTAAGTCAGATCCTGGCCACTTAAAATGAAATTTATGGATCAAGTGATATGTAGAATATTTATGTATATATTTTATGATGGAATATGATATGTGCTTTATTTTATTATCTATCATTCTCGGTTAAGTAATGATGATAATATAAAGGTTACGTAAAGGTTTCTTTATTTTTACTCGTACATGACAATAAAAGCGTATTTAAGTAGGTTTAGATTCGATTTAACAAAAGGTTTATATTGTTCCATACAGTATAAATATAATTGCTTGATTTTCCCATGTTTAATTCACATAACATTCGATCTAATGTCTGTTTCATTTCTAAAATGAATGAGAAATTGTGCATTCATTGAATATTGATTTGTTGTGGCATAAAGTTCATAATAAAAATTACTTTCCAAGAACTGAGGACGCTTAAGTGTTTTGTGTCATCCTCAAATTTATTGTCCCCTATAATACAGTTAGCTTTGCATAAGTCGAATTTGTCGGGACCGCAAAAAAATAGTTCGACTTATGCAAAATTCGACTAAGGAACTGTAAATATTGTGTTGCGAAGCTTGTTCCTATTCGACATTTCGACTTAGGGAAAATTCGACTTAGGTGAATTCGATTTATGGAGAGTTAACTTGTATTATATCCTCCTTTTGTCCCTCTTTTCAATTCTCTCTTCCCCACTGTTAAAGAAGGCCAAGGGCACGTTTCCAATTCCCAAAAGATAGCCAATCATCTATAAGTCTTTTATTATTGGGAACGGTTATCCTGACTCAGATATTAGATAAATAAGTGTACCATTATTTAGAAGTTCATTAAAAGGTTAAGCATTCACCGAAAAGAAAGGAAGAAGAAAAAAGGCGCGTAGTAACAAAAATCGTAATCTTGAATATGTTATTTATCAGCGATCGCGCAAAGTCATTCTCTACAACGCCCGTAAACAATCTGTTTCCCCTGATGTATTCTGAAAGAAATTTATCATGCCATCTATTATTTTATTATAAATGCCTAAATATAATCAATCATGGGACAAAAGAACAGAGAAACTAATGTTGGCTGAAAAGAAAAGAAACGAATAAAAGGTTTTTTAAAAAGAGGTATGACAAATCATAATCTTTAGTAAGGTATTTCAGAATACCTTACTAAAGATTATGATTTGTCACGATTAGAATCTAATCGTGCCTATACCTCTTCTATAACGTCTGTAAACAACATGTCTTTCTTGTATATCCTTAAAATAAGAGCTCATACCATTACAAATCCATGAAAGGAATCTTAAACAAAAATGTAAATTAAGTGACAAACAAAACTTTAAAAGGGCATTCAGTAGGGAAAGATTAATCCTAATTATATTTTTTTATTCTGATCCTACTTCGTCAATTCATATAACGCCTCAAAACAGCGTGTTTTTTTCTTAACGCATTCTCAAAGGATGAGCTTTGTTTATGCCGATCTACAAACGCCCCAAGAAGATTCTTTTCTCAAGTGACGATTGGGAACGAGTATGTAATCGTCTCTTCGTCATTTTACAGTGCTGTCAAGGCTAGAGAATATGAGAGGTGTACTTAAAAGCAATTGATGAAAGTAGGAGGAAAGCAATCAAGAGGGGTCCAAGAGGTTCATAATAACCAATAACCGTACTGCATAAGATAATCCCCACAATACGAATGCGAATGGTTTATGATAAAAACACGCAGTTTAATAATTGTGATTGACTCAATTTTGATGCGGAATTACAATACAGAAGTTCATTACATTATAATAATTATATATGTGCCTTTCTCCGGCCACTCTCAGCCAACAACGTTTTTTCTTCGAATATGGAGTTGAAGTTTGAACTTTAATTTGTCCCGCATTTACATTAAAATATGATTACGATCGGTGAAGAAAAAACACGTGAAATATGTGTTGAAATTTGATATATACTTTTATGGATATAGGAGCTTGGCGTTGGGGGGGGGGGGGGGGAGGAGAGTAGTAAAAGATTGTGTGGGATGGTGTCAAGTTATGTGTTTCTAAGGCAAGATGTGTGTGTATGTGTATGTGTGTGTGCGGTGGTGCATGTGTGTGTGTTTGCGTGTGCGTGTAAGATGAACACTGAGACAGTCATGAAGAAGAGATGAAGAAAGAGAGACAGAAAGAGACATCCATACATAGGAGAGATTTAGATGGACGGAGTGATAATTCTAGTCACATATAGTGCAAGTCTATCCAGTACGTCTTATATCTTTTCTATGTCATATTTTGATCCCTCAATCCATTATCTTCAGTTATCCTCCACAACAAACACATTTAACGTAGACAAGTATAGGAGGCAATAAATAAGAATCAAGCGAAGAACAAAATGGGAAAATAAGAAAGTGAAGGACAAAAAAAAAACAGCAACGATAAAGAAAAAAGTTAAGAAGAAGGAGATGAAGAAAGACACGAAGGAATAGAAATGGTAAGTAATATAACAAGATGGAGAAGAAAAATACGAGGCAAGAAGAAGACAGAAAAAAAAGACACAAAGGCAAAAAAAGAAAAAGAAATTAAGAAGAAGAAAGAGATTATTATCTGTGTCAAGCCATTATGTATGGAAATTATTTCTTTATTAATTTGTATATGATATATGGATATTCTGTATATGATGATTTTTGTTTTAAAAAAAAACCCTGTGGAAGGGGGGAAAACAAATTATTATTTTTTTTTTTAAGAAAGAGAAGAAGATCGAAAAGAAGGAGGGAGAAAAAAAAGAAGGGATGAATAGAATGGCAGGGGATAAGGTTATGATAATGGAAATACAAAGGGTGGAATAAGAGCGAGAATTTGACTACAGAGTCACGAACTAAAATACCAGGGCACAGCGCGGGATTGGGAAATGTACTAATGGCGATCAGCCCCTTTCACATGTGGAGTTGCGTAGTGTAAACGCCGAAATTAGGCTGTGTATTCATGAACAAATGTTGCTTCGGCGTAGTCCCTGCGTAGGTTATGCGTAGGCTGGCGTACGAGGGCGTAAGGTTACGTACCCTGTGCAAAGGCACTGCGTACCTACGCGTACGATTGCATATAACAGGCGTAGGGTTGCGTACGTTTACGTAGGTTTGCTCACGGTTGCGAACGGTTGATTACTGTGTTCGCAAGCGCCGTGCAAGCAGTCATTGTGGCTAGGTTGCGTGTATTGTAATCTTATATTACAATAGTAAAAAGCACAACAACAACAAAAACGACAATGTAATAAATGAAATTAACAGCGGAAAAAATATCAAATCACTTTGATAAAAGGCATTAAAATATCACCCTAAAAAATAGAACAGAGAGAAAATATAAGGAAACTGGTAAAAAGTAAAGGAGGAAAGAGGGAAAGAAAGAAAGAGGGGAGAGGGAATGAAAGAAAGAGGGGAGAGGGAAATGGAGAGAGAGAAAGAGAGAGAGAGAGAGAGAGAGAGATAAGCCATGTCAAAGCAGTAAATGAATCGGCATTGTATTACA